TGGATGAACACAGTGAGAACTTTGAAGACAACATTTTTTAAAGTACGAAATAGAAATCACAGAGCTGAAGAATATGATAATTGACTTTAAAAATGCATAAGAGGGGTTCAATAGCAGATTATATGAAGCAAAAGAAAGGATCAATGAACTCAATCACATAGCAGTGGAACTCAGAGCAAAAAAAGAAAAATGGAAAAAAAAAGTTAAAATGGCTTAAGGAACTTACGGGACAACATCAAGCACACCAACATTTGCATTATGGAGGTTCCAAGAAAAGATAAAGGGGGAAGAAACCCTATTTCAAGAAATAATGGCTGAAAGCTTTCCAAACCAGAAGAAGGAAACATATCAAGGTCCAAGAAGCCTAGAAGGTTCTAAATTAGATGACTCCAAGGAGGGCCACAAGACATATTATAATTAAAATGTCAAAAGCTAAAGAAGAGGAGAGAATCTTAAAAACAGCAATAGAAGAAACTTTGTATAAAAGGGAACTCCCATAATACTAGGAGCTGATTTTTCAGCAGAAATTCTGCAGGCCTTCAGGGAGTGGCAGAATATATTCAAAGTTCTGAAGGAAGTAACTCTTCTGGGTAGAGAATTCTTGATTGTAAGTTATCATTCAGAATTGAAGGAGAAATAGAGTTTTCCAGATAAGCAAAAGCTAACGGAGCTCATCACCACAGACTCGCCTTACAAGAAATGTTGAAAGGACTTCTTTAAGGTAAAAGAAAATGGTGGTAATTAGTAACAGGAAACCCTATCAAAGTATAAGTCTTACTGATAAAGGTTAATACATAGTGAAATTCAGAATATAGTAATATCATAAAAGTAGTGAATTAATTTTATAAAGCTTGTATGAAGGTTAAAAGTAGTTAAAGTAACGAAAATAATTAGTTAAGGGATACAAAGGTAAAAAATATAAAATGTGACATTAAAAACATAAAATGATGGAGGAGAGTAAAAAATCTAGAGCTTTAGAATACACTCAAATTTAAGTTGCTATCAATGTAAACTAGACCATTATAAATGTAAGTTGTTATATGTAAGCCTCATTGTAACCACAAAGCAAAAACCCATAGTAAATACACAATAGAGAAAGGCACCTATACGTACCACTACAGAATTCATCAAGCATAAAGGAAAAGAGCAAAAGAAATGTACATAGGAAGTACA